GGTTTTCATTCCTAGATGATAAACCACTGTCGGCGAGGATTTCAGAGCTACCCACGCTTCCAGTGCTGTTGTTCCTTGCGCTTCTCCTGGTGCTCCTCCTGCTGCTCCTGTGGCTGCTCCTCCTGGTGGTCCTTTGGCTGCAGATTGTTCTGCTCCAGCTGCTCCTCCTGATGCCGTTATTGCTGGTTTCACAGGGGTGCTGTCGTGTGAACAGGCATGCTTCCGTGTTCGCAGGCATGCTGTAGCGCAATGTGTGGCATGGGGCGTCTTGGGGGCCTCTTGGCGGCCCTGGGAACCTCTTGAAGCGTCTTGGGTGCCTCGGCGGGGCCTCTTGGGGACCCCTGGAGGTTTCTTGGGAGCTTATTGCGGGCATCTTAGGGGCATCTTGGGGGCCTCTTGGGGCCTCCTGGGCGCCTCTTGGGGCCCTCTTTGGAAGCCTCGGGGGCCATCTCACGGCCATCTTGGAGGTGATCGATGAAAGGAGGGAGATCCTTAACTAGGTACCCCCCCCAGGAGGCCGGAATGTGGCCGAAACTTTCTCGCCGAGGCCATCTTGGACACGTTAACCCCTCGCGCCCCCACCCGCCCAGGTCCAGGGGAAGGGGAAGGGGAAGGGAGAAACCCTTCCCCGAAGGGGAAGAAGAGAGTTGGAAGAAGAAACGCTCTAAACCACTCAGGCCCTGAAGGGCTGGTGGGAATACGACTGTTACTACTACAAGCGCTATTTCGATTGCTACTCTGCCCGCACCTGCCACGTTACCGTGAATCCCCCGGCGGAGGCCAGATCCCTCCATCACGAACGTCACGTGGAGAAATTGAACAACATCATGTTGGGATTATTTGGGGGGGTATGTCTGTGCGCAACCCGAAGCGTTACCATTCGCTTCAGTACGTGAGGGACACGTTGTGTAGAGTTGACTTTGGCTCAGCAGGAGGATCATGTTTGAAGAAACCATATGTTGTAAGCCTAACGCCGCATCATTGAAGTGATTCTGGCAGTCGGGTGCGGCAAAGAGTCGCTCAAGAGGGCGGGTTCCAGTCAGCCCGTTGGGCTAGAGGACCTGACAATCGTCTTCTACACAACTACTGGATTGCCTGCAGACTAGGGGGAGCCTGCAGCATCCCTCTGGGCGCCAGCCAGACTCATGTAACTCAAAACTGTCCCAATCTCTTGCGCCCGTAGTGGTTTCCTTGCTGGTGGTCAGAAGCATTGCCAGCGCCTGGGCCTGAGAGAGTCCCTTGGTCGGGCGGCCGCCACGCTTGCGCTTATGATTTTTGCAGAGCGCGCGTGTTCGGCCTCGGGATGAGTCTATTCTGGACCAGCTGCCAGCGGCGCCAGGCAGCAAAGTGCTGCCCCTTGACGTCCGCCTCATTTCCGATTCGTTTTTCCGCCACTGGCCCTTGAACCCGACTAAAGAAAGAACTTGTGGCAGGGTCATTGTCACGACAGCCGACCGAGTTAGAGCTTCGGTGTATTGTCGGGCCGTACGGCCACTTTTGATTCGGCCACTTCTGAACGTTTCAAGTGCGCACTTCTCCTCTCCTTGAATGGAGGATGACGATTAATAAATGACCGGGGATCGTGTTCACGCGGAGGCGCCCGGGGTGACGATTAGAAAAAACCGGCCGCGGGCTGGAAAACTATGTTTTTGATCGTTCTCCTCCAGTCAGAAACTTGTGCAGAAATAGCAGAAAACTATTTTGTTTAAATCGTTCTCTCTCATTTTTGTCTTAATCGTCATCCCGCATGACCCCCCTCCCGCCACCTCCCTTCCCGCGGGTGCTACATCCCCGACCAGGGAGCCCGACGCCCAGCCCCGCAGCGACCTGCTGACCTGCCAACGCCGCAGGGAGGCACGCACGTGTCCGGCGCACAGGGCTGGCTCGCACCCAGACGGGCCGACGATGTCACGACTCGCTGTGCACACATCGGATCGGACAGAATGGAGGGATTGCGAAGTGGGGGGGGGTACGAGATCTGCTGCACTTAGTGGGCCCTGGAAACGACAGGGCCGTTTTTTTACCGGTTCCGTTTTGCCGTTTTTTTGCCGGTTCCAACGCCGTTTTTTCACCGGTTCCGTCGCCGTTGTTTGACCAGTTCCAGCTCCGGTTCCAATCCTGGAGTCGTTTTTTTGCCGTTTCCGTTCGCTGTTTGTTTTGCCATCTTCATTTTCAAGGGACATTTTTTTGGAAACGGTGAAAAAACGGCCCTGCCGTTTCCGGGGCCCACAAAGCTGCTGCAGGACGCTGGTTTTAGGTTGGGCATGTCCTCCTACAGGCGGAATTTTGAACGAAAAAATGGAACATGTTCAAAAATGATCAACAGTAAGCAAAAAGACTCTGGGTTTCTTAATAAGCGTGGGGGGGTACCCCCACGACGGGGGTCAACCTCGCCTCGTCGTCGCGCCGCAACGGGGGTCGGAGCGCCTTCGGCGCGCGGTGGCTGCCCGCGACGGGGGTCGATGTGGGGCTGTCGGCGGTGGTGACGCCCCCTCGACGCTGATTAAGAAACTCGGAGTATGCGAAAATCGTTCCCAGTTTTCTTTTTTATTTGTTTTGAACATCCCCCTGCATAGGGACGCGCCGAACTTAAAGCTGGGTTCGGCCTCCCGCCGCCAGGTGCCTTCCTCGACTCGTGGGCGATTCTGTGGCGCCGGGCGACGACGGGGCAACCACATGCAGGAGGGGAAAAGACACACAGACACAATGAATCGACGATTCCCCGGAAAAGGTGTGGAAAAATATGGGAAGTGGAGGGGGGAAGGCGAAAGCATCCAGAAGATATGGGAAAACATGGGGAATATTGGGGTGTGTGTGTATTTTTGTGTGTCCCTGGGCTCCTTCACACCTTCGCGAGCCGAGATCCCGCAATCCCCCTTTTTTTGCTATAGTTAAGTCGGGCGTGTCCCCCATACAGGGAGATTTTCGACGTAAAATAAAAATTACCCCTAAAATACCCCTAAAATGCCCCAAAAAACACTCAACAAATAGTCCCCGCACTATTTTGGGGGTATGTTTCGTGTATTCTTGGGCCACTCTTTCTTCTTCGTCGAAAATCTCCCTGTAGGGGGACAGGCCCGACTTAATGCTACAGTAGGCACACCATGCAAGACATCGGCCTGCCAGCAGTTGCCCAAATTTCGTATCAGTCGATGTCCCCGGGGAAACTAGAGAAGCTCTGGGACGCTTGAGAGCACTCAACGATCGACGAAAAATGTGCCCCAGAATTCTAGACGCTTCGCGTATCCCCACCAGCCCGTCCAGAAACGACGCCCAGGCGAGTAGAGGGTCGTCCTGAGGAGCTTTTCGGCGTCTTGGGTGCCTCGGGGGGGCCTCTGTGGGCCGTTCGGGATCCTCTTTGGGGCCTCCTGGGGGCCTCTTGGGGCCTCTTGGGGCCATCTTGGGGCCTTTGGGGGCCTCCTGGGCGCTTCTTGGGGCCTCCTGGGCGCTTCTTGGGTGCCTCTGGGGGGTCTCTTGGGGCCTCTTGGGGGTCTCTTGGGGGCCTCCTGGGGGCCTCTTGGGGGGCCTCGGAGCCATCTTGGAGGAGATCGATCAACGAAGGGGGGGTCCCTAATTACAGCCCCCCCCTCAGGAGCCACGATCCTCGTGAGGGGTGTCGAATTTTAGCCCTCCCAGGGGTCGATCTTGGGCGCTCCAACGCGCCGCGGAACCCCCTGTCCAGGTCAGTGGGGAGGGGGTAGGGGGAGGGGTAAACCCCTCCCCGAAGGGGAAGAAGGAGGGGTGGAAGAGGAAACGCTCTAAACCACCGACGCCCAGAGGGCTGGTGGGATTTCTTCCGGCCAGGTTTCTCATCGTGTGTGCCTGCTGTACCCTCCTCCCCCATTTTCGTCAGACACGGATACTTGAGTTCTGGCTCTGTTTTCATTGCCTTCGGATGCAACTCCTGGGAGGTTAAATTCTGACTTTGCCCTGGTCCTTATTCCGGTTTGATCCTGCTAACTCCCGCTCTATCCGGTTTAATCCCGCTTGATCCCGCTCAATCCTGCTTAATCCCGCCTAATCCGTAGCCTAATTTGGCTTAGCAGCCCCCCAATGGGGCTCAATCCTTCTGAACCCTTCCGACGAAGACCTGCCGGTGGTTGCTTCCTAACTTGCCACGTTGAGCTCACGGCCAGAGGTGCTTGTGTGTGTGTCGGTGGCGCGCCGAGGGGCGAAGTGGGACGGGGCAGGCCTCTCGCAAGGCGGCGGGGCCTCTCTCAGAAGCACCCCGGCCCTCGAAGAGGCCCTCCGTGGCCTCGGAGGCGGCGCCGGGCGCCTCTCCGGCGGCGGGGACCCTCTCCGAAGCACCCCCACCCTCGGAGAGGCCCTCTGTGGCCTCGGATAGCCCGCGCAGGGCGCCTCTCGGGCGGCGGGGCCCACCCCTCCGGGCCTGCCGAGAGGAGGCCCGCGCCCGCTGCAAAGGCCCCCCCCCCCTCGAGGAGCGCGCGCCGCCGAGCGTGCGCGCGCCTCCTGCCTCCGAGGCCCCGCGAGCCCGCGTGCCCGCGCCCGCGACAGAGCGTCCCGAGAGGAGAGGAGGAGGAGGGGGAGGGGGAGGGGGAGGGGAGGGGGAGGAGGAGGAGGAGAGAGGAGGAGGGAGTAGGAGGAGGAGGGAGGAGGGAGGAGAGAGGAGGAGGAGATGAGGAGGAGGAGGAGGAGGAGGAGGAGGATGAGGAGGGGGAGGGGGAGGGGGAGGGGAGGAGGAGAGGAGGAGGAAGGAGGAGGAGGAGGAGGACAGAGAGGCAAGCCAGGCTCGCACCCCATCCCTCCCCACGGCGCTGGTTGTTTCTCCGCCCGCCGACGCGTGGCCCCGCGGGCCCTCGCCCGCGACGGGGCGCCTCAGTGCGGCAGGGGGCGCGCGCGCGGACGCGCGGGGGGCGCAGAGCTGCCGCAGAGCCCCGCGGGCGCGCCCCTTGCAGCGCGCCGCGCGGGCAGACCGCGACGGCCCCCCTGCCCGGAGGGGGCCTCGTCGAAGGAGAAAGCGCTGCGCAAAAACGAACGGGATCTCGCCTCGGCGGCGAAGCGAGGGGGGAGGCGAGGAGAGGAGAAGGCCTCCTCGGAGGGCAGCGGGGCTCTTCTCGGGAGCCCTCGCGCCCTCTGAAAAGTGCTCTGCGTGTTCGGGGAAGGCTCAAGAAGCTTCTCGGAAGGCCGGGGGGGCTGCCGAGCCTTCTGAGAGAAGGCCCTCCCCTTCTCGCTTCCCCCCCGGGCGTGCCGCCGATGATCACAATGGGAGGGGAGAGGGATGTACTTTCGGAGGGGCCTGAGAAGCCTCGTCGAATAAGATTATGGGGTGCCTCGATATTGGACCTCTTGTTGACCGCTCTCTTGGGGGGGGGGGGGGGGGGGCAGACGTGCTGTCAAACACTGTTTTGACCCCCCCTCCGTTATTGTGAGATTCGGAGTGGACTTTCGGAGGTCCGCGCGGGTTTCTCGGATCTGCGCTGGGAGGGGAGGCAAGCGGCGATCCAAGAAATCCACGCGGGCTTCTTAGTTTAAAGTTTATACTTATGCCGTGTTATGTCCCTTATTCTTGCCTGGAAGTGGCACGGATTTGCAGTTGCGCTCCCGCCCGCTTGCGTCGGCAAAGCGAAGGGAGGGGGCGGAGAAGCTCGTCGGTGGAAGTGCGCCTGATTGCGCACGTCGTGCCGATATCTTGCAGAAGGCGACAATAGCAGGATCCGCTTTTTTATCCACCTCGATGTCGCCCCCTTGTCTTCTGGTGCCTGGCCTCACCAGCATCCTCTCCCCTCTCCCCTCCATACCTCCTGCAGCACCGTGACCGCCATGAAACACCATCAGCAGCGGCACAGCATCGTCAAAATGCTCACCGTCAGCATCATCAGTGCTATCTCAACCACCGCAAAGGATCCATCCTATCGTACGCCTTCCTCCTCCAGGCCCTCGCGTCGGCGGCCCCGCTCCCCGTCCTCCCCGCCCTTTCGCCCTCCTCCCCCTCCCAGCCGGCCCTCCTCTCTCACGCCCCGGCCCTCCTGCTCTGCGCTCGTCGCTCCGGCTCCGAGCTCACTTCTCCCTCTTCTGTCCCTCTGCTCCCCGCATCCACTCCGCTTGCTTTGCTCCTTGGCCCCTTCTCTGACCTCCCTCCCCGCCTCCGAGAAGAGAGGAGGAAGAGGAGGAGGAGGAGGAGGAGGAGAGGACGAGAGAGAAGAGAGACAAGCCAGGCTCGCACTCATCCCTCCCCCGTAGCGCTGATTGTTTCTCTAACCGCCGACGCGTGTTACGGCGCACCTGCAGATCCAACAAGGACCTCATCGTGTCATGCGCTATCAGACAAGAAGAGCTACGTACATTGGAGGAGGAGTTCTGGAGTTCTGGATGTGGCGACCAGGTCGGGAAACGCTTGCTTAAACACCAGATGTCTGTTCCTTGGCTAGCTCGGCTTCGCTGCGAGCTGTCAGCCAAAGTCCCCGAGAAATCCGATCGGTAATCCGTCCGATGACCCTCAATTCGGTCAACACACGGCTTTGCTAGTTGTTTAAGCTGCTTAGTTGTATAAAGCCCGCAGGCAGAACAGAGCCAGACTCCCAGTTCCGCGTGATGCCGTAACTTATGATCCGGATCGGGAAAATCATTTTGCGATGTGCACCCGCCGCCCTTGGGAGGGGGGTTAAGCCAAGCCCCATCCACATTGATTTGGCTGAAACAACGGGGAGGCTAACCAGTCCTTACGCTTTGCCTGTGTGGACGCCCCCTTGCACCGAGAGCACTTGCGACAGCCGTCTCTTTCCAAAGCGTGCCGGTATGAGAACATTCGCACAGGCCGAGGCTGGGCCTGACGGGCGGCTTTCCTGCCAAGGCTTTTTCCAACAATCCTGTGGTGTTGGGTCCTCGTTTCGAAGAGACGGTCCCCGCGTTCACTGTTCCTCCTCCCACTGCCCCTCCTCCCCCCTCTCCTTCCTCCCCCTCCTCGCCTCTGGCCTCCGCATGTCCGTGCTTCGGCGCACCCAGTGCAACGCTTCGTGGCCCCATAGGGAGCTCCACCGACGGCCCCAGAGGCAGGTTCCACACGGCGGCGCCGCCTCATTTTGAAGCACCCCTCACGCGGCTCGTGGCCCCACAGAGAGCTCCACCGAGGGCCCAAGAAGCAGGGTCCACATGGCGGCGCGGTCTCATTGTGGCGCGCCCCTCGCACGGTTCGTGGCCCCACAGGGAGCTCACCTAAGGCCCCAGTGGCAGGGTCCACATGGCGGCGCCGCCCCATTTTGGCGCACCCCTCACGGGGTGCGTGGCCCCCTGCGGAGCTCAACCGAAGGCCCTCCTGGCGGAGTTCGCACGGCGGCGCGGCTCCGTCCTGGCGCACCCCTCACACGGGTCGTGGCCCCATAGGGAGCTCCACCGAAAGTGGCGCCACGACACGATCTTCACAACTGCATATGGTTGGGTCCTTCGCTCGGATGTTTTTTCTCTAGCTCCTGCTCAACTGCCAGGGCCGGCCTCAGTCGTATTCTGAAGACGTCGCATTCTGACAAGAAGCGCCTCGTGCTCAGCTGACTTCACTCGCGTGCGACTTTGCACGGGCAAACGAACCCCATCCACCCCGGGCGGGGCGAAGACGTCAGCCTCTGCGTTGCCCGCGACGAGCAACGTGGGGGGCGAGGCTTTGTTGCACCTCCTTGTCGCCCGGGTGCGAGTTGACGAAGGGGACCGTGCAGTGCAACCCGGGGTTAGCCTCTAGATGCCTGCAGATCTCCTACCAGAAGTCACTGCCTGGCCCTTCGGGCCTCGTATACCGTTCAATGTACCGTCCGACGATCACGCCATTGTGGTCCGTCACGGGGTGGCCGCGGGAACTCCCCAGAGCGAGGTGATGAGCCATAAGCTTGCCACGAGGAGCTGTGTGACGGATCCTTGGGAGTCCACCCCACACTCCGAGGTACAGTCAACCCGTATAGTAAGGATGGGCAATGTTCCCAAGGGTACCCTTGCATCCTTGCTTCCTCGGCCCATCCTCGGCCATCGCGCCCTCGCTCGAAAAGCTTCGAAATGGGCGTCCAAGGCCCCTGCATGCCCATCGCGCATTCTTAGCGGACACGAGCCTCAGGCCAACACGCGACGAAACCTCGGGAGTCTCTGCTCGCGCGCCCTTCGCTGGGTCGTCGCCGAAGCACTCGTCGGCGCACTCCTCGCCCCTCTGGTGTTCCAAGCCTCGTGCGACCGCGGAGGCTCCCCTTCCAGCCAAGTCGATGGCACGAGTCCGCGCGGCCAGAAGCAGGCGACTGTTTCTCCCAGGGCGTAGGATTCACCGCCGTGTAGATCTCGCGTGCTTCCCCATGGGTGCCCGTCAAGGTGCAGATCTCGTGCTGACATCGATCCTCGCAAACCCACACTCGATGAAAGGCGGTCTCGGGGTGACGACGGCACCGAGGACATGTCAGCTCCATCTCCTGTGTTGGCCCTGTCCTGCCTTCGTGTTCTGGGCCATGTGGCGCCCACGGCGATGGCGAGGAGGAAGCCAGCAAGCCTTCGTCCACCTGGTTCCCCTTCGAGCTCTTGGAGAAGTCGCCTATAGGACCGGTTACAGACTCCACCTTCGAGGCCAGATCCCTCGAATTGTTGAGCAGCACGTCGCCAGAGCCTTGCCTGAACGGACTGCTCATATTTTGTGACAAACTATTCGGACAAAGCATTGCTGTCGATGCCTGTGAGGTTGTCGACTGCAAATTGCCAGGCGTGCTCGCAACCATCGCCGACGCCTGGCGTGATCCAGCTTGTCGGTGAATCTGGTCGCCAGCCCGCCTGACTGCACCTTGCGGCCCACGAATGTGCCTGGGTCTGTGCTGGTGGAAAGGCAACAAGCTCACGCATGCCACTGGGGCCTTCGGTGGAGCTCCCTATCGGGCCACGAAACGTGTAAGTGATGTGCCAAAGTGAGGAAGGTGACGGGAGGAGGGAGGAGGGGGAGGGAACGGAGAGAAGAGGAGACCCGGGGATTGTCTCATCAAAACGAGGACCCAACACCACACGATGGTGGAGAAAGACTTGAGAAGTTTCAGTGAGGCCGCCAAGAGACCCTCCCAGGAAGAGCCCCCGCAAAAAAAATCGTCAAGGGCGTGAGGCCCACAATCTCGGCCCAGCGATGATGCTGTGTTTGCCGCACAAGCATGCTATGGGCTTTCATCCACTTGGTTCGCCCCAGCAATTCGACGACGAGTTCGATGCCCAGCGGAACGCAGCATCAAAATGTAGTCGGCGTTCCTCTTGTTGGCATCACAGTACCGCCCTCACGCACTGCTTCCACGCGCCTGGCTAGGAGCGAAGGGCCGGCATGAGCGTCCACCGAAGTTGAAAGGGGATCGTTCTTCATCCAACAGGGGTGGTGCTCGGGGGGGAGGAGTTGCCGCGGTAGCCAGAGCGGCTCCTACCCTAATTCAAGTTTGCGCGTTTGCTCGTCCAGCTCCTATGCCCACAGAAAAATGCACCGTCGTTGCCTCCACTATCGAGATGAGCGAAGAGCGAGAGAGAGAGAGAGAGCGTTTGCGAGCGCGCGCTGCATCCACGTCAGGTTTGACAGGCCCCGCCTGAGCGGGTGGGAGCGCGTCGAGGAGTTGTTCAAAGAGTTGTTCCGCTTGCAGGACCCAGCCCATTCGTCAGCGGCCCATACCCATCGTGCATAGTTTGTCCTTTTTCCTGTACCTCTCACCTGCCTACCATATCCTTCCTGTCTTCTGCACGGTTACAGCACATGAATACGTATGAGTCTCCTCGCTCCCCTTCTACGTCCTGGAATTGTCCTGCCCTCTCCGTGTACTGATTGTTCCCACAGGGTTTCAGCAGACAGGGGGCGCGGTTATCGCATAAGGGTGTGCAGAGTGCGTGTTCGAGTGGGGACTGAACGTGCCACAGGGTGGACATTGCAGAGGTAACCTCGACATTATTGAGCGGCTCGGCTATGAGGTTAGATGGCCAGAGCTTTCTTGTCCAGACGATTATGATGCCGACTTGTCTGCCGGCTTTTGTTTCTTGCGCGGTTCTTCTGAGGCGCAAG